AAGCTAATTTAGCAATCGATTGTATATATGGTTTCCATGAAAGGTCAGTAGTAAGCGATAATCCAAGAAGACGTAAAGAGGAGGACTCAGTAAGAGGATTGCCATTCATCAATATAGGAATGTTGACCATATTACGGAACTTGTTTGCAGTAAACAACTAGGTTTTGTTAGAGCTGAAATTCACGAGCCACTGAGAACCCCAATCTATTACTGAAGTGAGATCTGATTCAAGATCAGCTGCTTGTTCTAGGCAATCAAAAAGAAAAGACTTTTTGTCAAGACAGGAGTATAAAGTTGAGTCATCAGCAAAAAGAGCTACTTTAGATGAAAGGTTGTCAGAAAGATCGTTTATGTAGATAAAAAACAAAACAGGGCCCAGGATGGAACCTTAGGGAACCCCAGAAGTTACTGGAAATAGAGAAGAGTGTTCGCCTTCAAGGATGACTTTAATAAACCGGTTAGAAAGAAATGATTTAATAATCTCAAAAACTTTCCCAGAAACATCATATGAAGCAAGCTTATGGAGAAGACCAGCATGCCACACTATGTCGAAAGCTTTAGATATGTCGAGAGCAATAGCCCTAGCCTCACCGCCTCCATCAAATGCACGATAAAATCTTTCAGTTACAGCAGTTAGCAAGTCGGCCGAAGAGCGAGAGGATCGAAAACCGTATTGATTGTCTGACAGTAGTTTATTTGACTCAAGATGAGATGTGAGGAATTTGTTGATCAAAGACTCAAAGACCTTGCTAATAACAGAAAGAAGACTGATTGGACGATAATTGGAGGGGTCAGAATTTTCTCCAGAGTTTTTGAATATTGGAACCACAGATGCCATTTTTCAACAAGCAGGAAAACAAGACTCAGTCAAACACTTGTTAAATAGTTTAGAGAGAATTGAAGAAAGTTCTGGAGAACAATTCTGCAAGACTGTGACAGGAATGTTGTCTGGACCACAAGCTGTAGACGAGTTTAATTGAGATATAACTTTAGCAACGGAAGACGGAGTGATTTGAATGTCTAACAATGGGTCAACCTGTTTGACTGGAATGGAAGGAAGAGAATGTCCATAAGATTCAAGAGTGGAATTAGAAGAAAAGTTCTTTGCAAATAGTTCTGCCTTATCCTTGGGAGAGGTAATAAGATCAGTCCCATGAATGAGAGATGGAATGTCAGATCTACCCTTGTTAATAATGCTGTTGAAGATTTTCCAAAAATCTTTAGAGCCTTACTTCTGTGATAAGATGCGAGATTTAGTAAACTGAGAATAATGGAGTTTAGCATCAGAAGTGAACATCAGAAGAGATGTGGAGTTTTTACATCGATTTCTTGCAATAATAAATAGCCGTTTGTTCTCAAAAGAGTTGTTCTTTTGAAAAAGATGAAAAAAATGATATCGATTGGATATAGCAGCCGCACAAGAAGGAGAAAACCATGGAGTAGAATGAGGCTTGACTTGAAACCGACAAGAAGGAATAAAAGCTTCCATTCCAGCCTGAATCCAGGAGGTTATGTAGGAGGCACATTTATCAGCTGAGAGAGAAAAAACATCAGCCCAAGGACCATCACGAAGAAAATCACGAAAAGAATCCCAGTCAGCTTTAGGGTAGTAGTAGGTGGTGCAATGATAAGGTGAGCCCAAAAAAGAAGTACGAGAAGAAAGATTTATAGAGATCATTGCATGGTCAGAACCACCTAAGGGAGAAAAGGGAGAAACTGAACATAAGCTAGGGTAAGAGACAAGACATAAGTCAAGGAGTGAAGGTAAATGATTAGGGTTGTCAGGAAAACGAGTCACAAAGTAAACTATCTGAGTAAGAGATTGAGAAACGCAGAAGTTAAAGGCTTTAGTGCCAGCAGGATCAGTGGTGTTGGAGCCAAGCCATTCAGTGTGATGGGCATTAAAATCACCAACAACAACAATATTGGCAGAGGGGGAAAGAGAGAGGGCATGGTCAATTTGATCAGAGATAACATGTAAAAGAGTGCAATCATGGGAAGAAGGAGAATGATAAAGAACAAAGAGAAAGGTGATAGAGTGAAGAGGTGTTAAGCGAAAGCACATAAAAGAATGGTCAAAGGATTCGAACCTGATTTCACGACAAATTAATGCGTATGTTGGGATACTCCTAAACCTAGCATGTGACTATTTACGAACATGTGAGTCTTTACAAATCAAAGGATAGTACCCATCAACACTGACATCTGAAGAAGGAATTGCAGAATTTAAATTTGTTTCACTGAGTGCAAGCAAGTCTGGTGAATTTTGCAGGAGGTAAGACTCAACTGACGGAAAGTTGCTTCGCAGACCGCGAATATTTGTAAAAGATATATTAAAACATTTAGGTGGTGGGGATGGTTTTTGAGGTTTAAAATTTTTGGTTACTTTGAGGTTTAAAATTTTTGGTTACATTTGGGTTTAATGAGAACTTTAATAGTTTGGGTTTAATGAGAAATTTAATGACTCATTCATAGATAGAGCACAGCCTCCTAATCAATGAGCTATGCAGTTGTCTCAGTCCTGTTAATTAACCCTAAGCCGTGACATAGGGCTCCTTATGTGGCCTTGTTAATGCACACCAAAAACAGGGACACCATCCATGCGCAACATGGCACTGTTAATACTCTGATATTTTGCAGATGTTGATGGAATCAGCCTCTCTGAGAGCTACCACAGAGTTCGGGAAACCTTACTACCAGCCGGCCTCAGAACCATTAAACTGAGTTTTAGAGCTGTAACCTTATATGGAGATAACAGGAAGAGTTGCATAGCCATTATCAAGGAGGCATAAGCAAAATTCTATGAGTAGAGTCAAGGAGATTCAGCATTCATCATCCTAGGCAGGAAACAATGAAACATGTAACACAGGTTACATCTATGCCAGCCTAACAGATGAAGAAGGGGTTCGAGGCTGGTTAGCAAAATTTTTCTGCTTACCCCTAAAGTCTTTGCCTAGGAGGCCATCTACAAGACAGTAGCTGGATGCAGTTAACATCTTACAAGATGAGTATTTTTATTGAGACACCATATCTAGCCTTTACTCAACCAAGAGCCCCAAGGCAAGGGATGTTTAGCTGGATGCAGTTAACATCTTACAAGATGAGTGCTTTTATCGAGACACCATCTCTAGCCTTTACTCAACCAAGAGCCCCAAGGCAGGGGAATTTTTAGTTGGAGTTTATTTCTCCTAGCCTTTGCCTAAGAAGAGCACACTCTGCAAGGCAGCAGGGCTTGTGGCAGGTGGTACTGGGTTACGTGATACCAGTAGCAAGATTGATCTTGATTATCCTGACCTGACCTGGAGTAGTTAAAAGGAGTTACTTCCCGCAACAGTACTTTGAGAAAACCAGGCATGACATTTTGGAAGTGCATAAGTAAAAACACTGCGTCTAAAAAAATACAGGAGTCTAAGGTGAGTGTAGGTTTTGTAGTTGGAGTAAGTAGCTAGTTACTGAGCTCACGCTGCATCAGAGAATAAACAGAACACAAACAAACATAAATCAACTTACGGGTGAGTCAACACCGCGCCAGAGGTTCAGACAGAGCACGAACATACATAAAAAACATAAAGCAACTTACGGGTGAGCGAACACCGCGCCAGAGGTTCAGACAGAACACAAACATACATATAAAGTAGATTACAGGTGAGCTAATACAGTAACTAAGGCACCTTCAACTATAGAAAAAAAACTATAACTATATAGAAAACTATAACTATATAGAAAAAAGAAACTATATAGAAACTATAAGTATATAGAAAAATATAACTATAACGAAACTATATAGAAAACTATAACTATATAGAAAAAAAACTCCAACTATAGAGAAAAAAAAATATATATATATATATTACTATAGGCATGACTGATACAAGATAGTACTGATGACAGAAAGCACATTCTTTCCAGCCTTTGCTTAGAAAGCAAATCCTGCAAGGCAGCAGAACATGGAACAGGTTGCACTGGGTTACATGTTACCAGTAGCAGGATGATCATGAAGTTATTACTTGTTATCAAGTATATTAAAAACCGTTATTAAAAAAAAAAAACTGTTATATTAAACATAACCATTTGAACTTACGAAACAATGTTCTTTGTAAGAGCTTCTATTTTAAGAGTTTTTTAAGAGTTTTTTGTGACGTAAGAATTTAAACATGGGTTTCCGAAGTGACTATATCTATAGTCCTGTTTCACCAACATAACATTTGCCACAAGAGCACTCTAATTTGTAAACACCAGGATAGGAGTTGGTAGTGTAGGTTTATTTTTGGAACTAAGTAGAGTTTGGAGATTTTTTGGAGACTTAAACACTAGTGCATATCCTGCTTTTTTAAAAACACTTAACTTAGGACTGATTACAGGGATCCAGGGTAAAGACACAAATCTTTTTGGAGACATTTTGAAATGTAGATTTTGCATCTTCTTCTACCTGGAACCTTGAATGTATATCATCAACATATCTTTTAAATGATTTCAAATTTTAATCAAAGCATGGATTTAATCAAATTTTAATCAAAGCAAATTTTAATCAAAGCAAAAAACTTTAATCAAATTTTAATCAAATTTTAATCAAAGCGCAAAGATTTAATCAAATTTTAATCAAAGCAAATCAAATTTTAATCAAAGCATGGCTTAGGCAGGGATGTGATAGAGATAGTGGAAGATATTAGATAACATCATATTAAGTTAGTCATCAGCAGGGTTTCAGCGCACTCAAAATGTTGATTAAATAAAAGTATTTGAATAATCAAATATATGTCATTATATCATAAAAATTATGCCATTTTGAAAATACTTGAATAATCAAATAAATGCCATTATATCATGAAAGCAATTAGGAAAATATTTGAATAATCATTTCCTAGTGTATGATGACTAACTTAGTATGATGTTATGTGCAACAAAATCTCTATTTAATAAAACTAAATAATAATAGCATTAAGAACAATAATAAAAATAATGACAACAATAATAATAATAGTGTTACATTAATGATTTACCTGCTTGTTTAAGTACATGATCTACAAACTTATAATCAAAATATGCATCCTCGTCCTCTTTAAAGGAAAGATTTTTAAAGTATATTATAAGAGCAAAGTCTGCTTCTTCTTTAGAATTGAATTCAACATCATATTGTTTAAGTTCTTCAAAGGGAAATTGTGTAGCAGCATTGGTATTAGAAACTTTTTCTTCGTATTCTGAAAATGAATAAATAAAAAAATTTATGAACAAAAACACAAAAATAATTCACTATTTCTTTAGTTTTTAATATATATATATATATATATATATATATATATATATATATATATATATATATATATATATATATATATATATATATATATATATATATATTACTTTATTTTCTTCTTATGACATTAAAATATTATATTATTATTAAATAAAACCAGATTTTATAATTAACTTATTACAATTATTATTAGAGAATGCTCAAGACCCTCAAACTTTATACAAGTTCCTGATATTTTTTAAAATATTGTTAAAATATATAAACCTCTCAAAAGAAAGTCATAAATTTGAATATTTTTATTTTAAATTTTACTGTATAAAAACTTTTATTATTTTTATAAAAAAATTAAGTTGCTCATATTTTCATTTTTTGTTGTTTTTTATACAACAGTTTTTGTTCTATAAAAATGATTATTAATTTTAAAATTTTAACTATCTTAAGAACAAAATAAAAATATAATTATTGGTTATATTTATTTTTAACCTTGCATTTCAATTAATGATTTTAATCATGATTTTTTTCTTTTTAATGGAAAAACTTTCTAAGGAAAACAAAAAATGTCATACTAATAGGTGAATGTAAAATTAATAACTTAATTATTACAATTCATCCAGATTCCTAAATTCATACAGATAAAACTCTTATTTTAAAACAGCAGAAAATATATATAGATTAATTGGTGTCATAGAATTCAAAGACAATGATGATCCAAACCATTAACATAAACCTCCCACTAATAAATAAACTCAAGGAACTGTAATACCTATAAAAACACAAGATAAAATATAATGACCTCTTTGTTGAAATGATTTGATAATCTGCAATATGCTTGTGATTAATAACTTGTTAAAAAGCACCAGATTTGATAACCCGCAATATGCTTGTGTTTAATAACTATTAATCACTTTACAAGCTTGTGACTTGTTTTTTAACTTTTACAAAAAGACCTAGAGTTAAGCATATATTTTTGTAAATTGGTTTGAGCCTTATTTAAAACTATAAATAAAAAAATCTCAGCAACCCAACCTGTCAATTCAGAAATTCCTCATAGTTTTAATTAAACCTCTGCTCTTCTTGGTATACATTGATGAATTAAACACATTCCCTAATGTGTATACCTATCATTTTGCTAATAGAAATAACTTCCTTATAATTAAAGACACAGTTAACAAAGCTCAAATTAAAAACAACAAGTTCATACTCTTAATTCTTTATCTGGCTGATGAATTCTTATTTAATGCAAAACAAAAAAAAAAAAATTTTAATAAAAAACTTTTAAACCAAAAATCAAAATATTAGGCAAGTAATACAATTTTTTATTAATGGAGAGACTTCCCATAAAATTCCATAAAATCAGTATGGTACCTAAGAATTATATTAGATAAAAATCTAATATAATAATTTTAGACAAAATGAGGCTGATCTATTGGACCAATCGAACAACACACCAATAGTATTGGTATATTAGCTAACATAATTTTTTTTTTATTTATTTATATAGAAACTATAACTTGCATGCCAAATCTGGGGACAAACTAAAAATCAGTCCTTAAAAAGTCTCTACATTTATAATACAGCCATTAAATTACTTCTAAAATGACCACTTTGACAATGTTTCTTTATTATATAAATTATTATATATTTTAAAAAACATAATGATGACACCGAATTCTTAAAGTATACCTCAGTATGAGATTAATTAAACATTTGATTCCCAAATACTATTACCACCTCCCTCTCTCAAACCAGAATGTAATGAACATTCCTACCTCCATATATATATATATATATATATATATATATATATATATATATATATATATATATATATATATATATATATATATATATATATATATATATATATACATATATATATGTTTTATATGCTACAATGTTTTTTTATCTTTTATTATTAGCTGGTATTCTCTGGTTGACTCTAAGATAGAAACAAAAACATAACTTTGGAAAGATTAAAAGTGCCAAGAAGTTCACTATTTTTTATATACACTTTTTTATTACTAAGAACTATTTGTCTATTTGGCACAAATGGCGGAAGGTAATTTTTTTTTTTAATAGAATTTTTGCAAGTATTATATCTTTTCCTGCAGGCACTATACCTGAATTATTGGTATTTTAGTACTAAAATACCTAAGATAAAAATAATCAAAATCAGCTATAATAACCAATAATCAATATTTTCAAACTTAAAATGTTTTGGTAAGTTATATAATTGTGATTAAATATGGGAGTAATTAGTGTAAAGTTCTAAAAGAAAACCAGGGATTTTTTAAAAATATTTTTAAAAAAATGATTTAAAAAAAAATAGTTATAAATAACTATCATATGAGAATCATAGTCAAGTTTCACTATCTGGTTTATAGTTTTTTACAATCACTGTAAATTGTAAAAAGACAACCATTGTAAAAAGACAACATTGTAACAATGGTTGTCTTTTTTGTCTATTATAATAAATTATTAGGAACACAAAGTACTTTTTAAAACTTTTGTTTTTTAAAAAAATATAATAAAAATCACGGATGTTTTGAGTTGCAAAGTGTTGTAAAAGTATAAGTATTATATAGAACAAAATTTGATAGAAAAATTATCATTTTTTAGTTATTATTATTCGATTTTTTATGCATTATTCAATTTCACTTTAATTATTCAGTGAACTTCCTGGATTTTAACATACGCGCTAAAGCTTTTTTTTTTTTTTATCAGAGTGCCCGTATCACTGCCTCAATAGGCACGGTGCATAGAAAGATGCTCTGAGACTCTTACAAGACATCCCCTGAATTTTTGTTTGTTTGTTTGTTTATTACAATTCCTTTGAAAGTACACATGGTTGAACAACATATAATCGAATACATCGACATGAAAGGTCGAGTCTTCGGTATGATAAATAAATTTTAAGTTTGTCAAAAGATTAAATTAATGTTATTTAATTATAATAAAAGTAATTAAATACTTATTATTAAAATAATACAACATTTTATGCAAGTTTAAACTTGCATAAACTAAAAAAGAAATTTGTCGATAAGTTTTGGTTTAATTTATGATAGAACTTAAAAAACAAATTATTAGCTTAGGAGACGAAGTTCTAGGAAAGGGGCAATTCGGGGTCGGAACGGGGTTGGGTTAGCTTCAATTACCTATACCTTTTACAATTCATCCTCATTTGATACCAGTATTAACATTTTAAAAATTTGAGTATGCCACATAGCTCTTAGTTAGCATCATAAACAATAAAATTACTAGGCACTCGGCTAAAATACGTGATTTCTTCCTAGGCCCCCGGTAAAAAAAGTTGTTTTTTACATTTTTGAAATAAGGAAGAGTCTTCTGATAATAAACAAAAAAAAAATTTAGGGGATGTGTTGTAAGGTCTCAGAGCAAGTTCATATGCACCGTGTAGGGTTTCAAAATATGCAGCCTTAAACCGGCTCACTTAAACAAGAGGCCGGGTGAATAAAAAAAGCATTCGTTTTTTTTTAGTAATTGATTAGCTTTTACGGCAAAAAAAGCTTAAGCAATTTTTTTTAAGTTTACATGAAATTGAGCAATTACTGAGTAAATTGGTTAACTTTACCTGAATAAAAGTTTCAGGAAAACTACTAAAGCTTTTATTCACGTAAAAGTGACCTATTACTTATTTTTTATTCACCCGTTTTTTAGTCACGTAAAAGTGACCTATTGCTTTTTTTTTATTCACCCGGCCTAAGATCTCGCAACTATATAAAGGTGAGTTTCCACTCATCCGTTTTTTTCACGGGAGGGAAAGGGACGGGAAAAATAATCACGTGGGCATGCGTAGTATAAGTTTTAATATGTCTGATGGAAAACTACGCATGCTCACGTGATTATTTTTTCCTTTTCTATCCCGTTCCCGTAAAAAAAACGGATGAGTGGAAACTCACCTTAATATACCTAATGAAATTAAACTTGTTTATGGGCAAACGGGCTTGCCCGAATAACTGAGATCTTGCGTAATTTCAGTGGGATCTCACACAGTTTAGTCTACAACAACAAAAACAAGTTAGCCCTGCTTATCAATGTAGCTTGAATATAGATAAGATAAATTAAATCACACAATTTCTTTTATCCAATCAAAGATATTCCTCATTGTTTTTAAAATAACCAATTAAATAAGAATGAGTAAACTACAATTCCAATGTAAATATTTTTTTTATTAATATTATTTTTTTAGTCAGCCTGGTAAACCGGGCGAGTCCTATTCATATGCGTCTGGCTGGCCCGGTTAAGCAGGCTAACTAAAAAAATGAAATCATAAAAAAATAAATATTTACGTTGGAATTTAAATTTGAATTACGCAAACTTATTTTTATTTAATGTTTTTTAAAAAACAATCGGGAATGACTTTGATTGGATAAAGGAAATGGCATGAATTATATTATCCAATCAGCTACATTCATGACCAGGGCTTACTTGTTTGTGTTTTTTTAGAGAAAAAAATCGTCTCACCTGAGAGGGATCCCACTGAAATTAGGCAAGATCTCAGTTATCCTAGCTGGTTTATTATGTAAACAAGTTTAATTTTTATAAGTAAATATTAGATATGACGAGATCTCTTTTTTTTTTTTTTTTTTTAATTTAGGTGCCCCAAGAAGTCCTTTCGGTCTTATCACATAGCACCGTGGGCAAGCATTTAATTGGAAGTTCACGCCTCCTTCTTAACCGATGTTGCAAATTTGCGCAGAGGTGAAGTTTTGAACCACGGATCCTTTGTTTCTGAGGAAAGTGCGCTACCACTGCGCCACGGCTGCTCAATTTATTTATTATTATTTATTAATTATTATTATTGTATTATAATATTAATATTATATATTTATTACTCATTTATTTTGGATGTGTAAGTCTCCTTCCTTACAAATGTCGCTTCATAGGCTAGAACCGGCGTCGAGAATAGTGTTATGGATATAA